CTGGAGCATTGATAGCATCCTCAACGTTAACAACGAACTGTTTTTGGGCATCGTAAGCAGTCCCCTTACCCAGGAAGTTGGAAGCGCGTTGGCGCGTCGCGCACTAACACAAGCCCCACACGCACGCTCAATCGAAGTCGTTTAACCTGATTACCCCGGCACGAGTAAACCCTTTCGACGTGTCCAGCATGAACTTTTTCCAGTCATCCGCTGCCCCCTGCTCAAACCTCCAGACTCTGTAATCCTTACAGTTGTCGAAAGCCATATAACGGTCATCCCACTCGTTGGTTGTGAGGTGATGATACGCCTTGTATCCCCATTCCTTCAATTTCTCGCTGGCTTCCACGAGGTGCATGTTGTGAACGATGGGGATACCCAACCCGTGGTTCGGCCCCGGCAAACGCCAACCCGTCTTCGGGTTTAGTTCGAATTCGTTACAAATACGTTTGTAGGCCCGTCTATCGTACTTGTTGTTTAATGGGTTCCATGCATTGTCCTGTGGGACCGGAGCACTGATTTCTTTGAGGATACACCCAATCTGGTAGTACACGTGGAACGTGAACACAGACTGACTCAGCGGTCCACGCCGAGTGTCGGTCAATGTCACACCACACCCCGTTGTAGCACACCACACGGCGAAGTTGAGTTGATTCTGCCAGAACTGCATCGGGTTGTTGAACCAAGCATGAACTACCTTAGCGTTAGTCACCGAAAATTTATACTTGTCAAACACATCTATGAACTGGGCGTCGAAATACAACCCAGCAGCGACCACGATCTTCATAGGTGAGAAATCTATGTCCAGTTTAGGGTAAAACACTCCAGGGGAGTAAGACACTCCTTGGGAATACATTTTAAAACTATTATATAAGGAGCATATATACTCTAACATGTACATAACACTTCCAGGAATAACGAGCGGTGAGGCCGTTCAGCTGACGCACGCGATCGATAATACGTTGGGTCAACCCGAAGTCGCACTCTGTGATATCACCTACCTACCGCAATGGACTAACATCAACGCCAGCAACAATAAGCTGTTCGTCAGTGGAGCTCGCAGCCAGATAACTGACGGCTACTACAGCGTGTGCTCGCTAAGCGACGAGGTCTTCAAACCCCTGGGAGCTGAACTCAAGATGAACGACTCAAAAGGTACAGTGGTGTTCATCAAGAACGGAAGAAAGTCCTTAAAGCTCGGTCGACCATTGGCGAGGACACTAGGTATGTTGTCTGACGAGATAAAACCAACAACAACCGTCACAGGCATGAAGTTACCCGACCTAGTGCCATACCGAGAGCTGTACATTCATCTCGGCCAGGTGAGCACAACGTACAACATTCAAGGGGGGCACCCTTCCACTATACTGAGAGCCGTACCGGTGAAAACGGAGAAATACAACGACGGTAGAACGGAGTCGTTTTCACCGCGGCAGTATAAGAGGTTGACCCAGGGCAACATACCTGAGCTGATAATATCGGTGTTAGATATAAATCATAATCCTGTCAATACCTCAGCTTAACGCTTCACATAAAATGACCAGCGCACAAGGGCCCGGGGTGAAAAAATGCTTCAATGTGGGGATCTCCGACCTCGGGGACACACGCGGTTTCGACGCTCCCGGAGTAGATGGCACACTGTACGCCTTACAACTGAAAAACAACATTTACAAACGCATTGAAGTCCCCTCCAATGGTACTAGCAATCTAAGTGATATGGTAGATACCTCAGGAGTGGTCGTCAACACTAAGTACACCCTTGTCAACACCGATGATGATAACTGGATAATATACCCATCATTCGGGGGCAAACTGTTTGACTTAGACGATGTTGAGAGCACTACCGTCGCCCGAAACAAGCCATATACGCTCGTCTTCACCGACGATGACAAGTGGGTGTTATTACCCGATAAAGTCGACTGGTTTCTCAACATTAAGCTCAGCTCCCCCTACGTGTTCACGGATAACAAAGACAACCACCTAAACAAAGTCGTGAACAATGGAACCCTGCTCGTGGCTTACGCCCCGACTCAGAGACGAAGCGTAGTCATCAGCCCACTCAACAGTATGGCAGCCCACATGCTATCGAGTAAAGCGGGCATACAAAAGCGTGACATTGCAGTTGGTGTCTGAATTCGAAGGCGTGGTCACCATCCTGGAGAGTCTACCGGCGAACTCAACACTGATCATCCAAGTCTACCTAGGGGAACCATGGCTGGATGATGTCGAAATCGTGAAAGGGGTCAAACTCCGGTTGGGGAAACAACACCAGTATCACGTTTGCAATGTTTACGTGCGGGTGGGTGTCGACTCCAAAACCAGTCTGCAGGGTGTCACCGTGATCGTGGAAGACACTATATCACTAACCAAGATCTTCCTACCCGACAACATACACTTCATGGGGTTGAAGTGCACCCCTGAACTATTATCAGAAAACCAGTTGGAAATTATATCGTAATGGTATTATAGCAATGTCTTGGCTTCGCCCCAACACTACACTTAACGACTTAGGGGACACGGAGGGATTCGATCAGCCTGGTGAGGAAGACACCTTATACATCCTGCACTTGAAAGACAACGTGTATAGGCGGGTGCCGTTATCAGATTTTAAAGAACCCAAATGGATAGTCAACTTAGCCCTCACCTCACCTTATATCACATCAAAAGAAGATGGGTATATCTATGAAATTAAGAATAGCGGTACCGCGCCGCTCGGGTGTTTCATTCCGGGACCTAATACAAAGATTGTACTAAGGTCGGTTTTACCCAATATGTTACTATCATCCCGCGGGGGTGAGTTAAAGTATGGCTGCTACAGAACCCTATATGAAATTCCAGTTGTGTCACCAGGCTCCACACTCATCATAGAAGTCTATATCACTAGAGTTAATAATAATAATCTAGAACAACAACTTGTACCCGGGATGATAGTACACTGGAATCCCCAGAACCGTAGTGAACGTTACCGCGCCATCATCATACAACCGGACCCCTCAACGGGTTCTATAACCCCCTCAATAAGCCCCTCAGGGGGGGATCGTGTGGATGCAAAGTTACCTATTACATTCTCACCTATTTCCCTACATGAGGATTTACACCTTATAAGCCTCAAGTACGTTGATCGACTGTTAACTGAAACCCAATTAAAATATCTTTTGTAATATATATTATAGGATGGGGCTATACCCAGTCGTAGAGGAAGTAGCTAAGACCCTGGAAACCGTAGATGGGTTCCGCTTGAGACAGTTATGTGATGTGAAACGCCAACTAGAACAAGACCGCGACACGTGGAAAGCACTATGTAAAAAGTACCATAGAGCTTTCAATATCGTGGACGGGGCTGACACTGCCCTTATAGTAACCAGCATGGGAATAGGGGCGGCAGGTGTTGGGTTGTTAGCTACCATCGTGGCTGCACCTATAGTGCTAGGTATCGAAATAACAGCTGGGGTGGCAGGGGTGGTAGGGTTGGCGCTTAAGTTGGCATCACGCAGACTGCATCGTAAGGCATTGAAACACGACGAGATCAGGGTTCTGGCTGAAGCAAAGCTGAACACAGTAAGTGAGCGTATTTCCACTGCACTCACTGACAGTAAGATCTCAGAGGAGGAGTTTAGTTCAATCCTCTCTGAACTCACAAAATATAACAAAATGAAACAAGATATTCGATCCAAGTCTCGTAAGTCTGCTATCAGCGAGGATGAGAAAAAAAAGTACATAGAACAAGGGGTGAAAAAAGCCCAGCAAGCCTTTATTACAAACACCAAAGAGATTATAGGCGATTAACATTAAACTGTTTCATCGAAGTAAACGTGGCATAGCGGCACAATAGTGCCATAGCGGCACGTTAGACGCAGCCCAGCATTGGATAATACAATCCCAGGATACCAACATACTTCACCCAAGTCCCCGGTAGCGTGTACATTGGGCGTTCGTACTCCGCTACCGTCCCAAACTTTTTTATAGTAGGGGTAATGGTAGCAAGAGCTAAGGGTCCGCCCAAAGCCTTATTTCCCAAATAAGGCTTTGCAGAGGCTTTTGTTGGACCTGGTCCAAAACCCCCATTGTATATACTACTCAAGGGTTGCCTGATGACCACCAAAATAAAAAAGTGAGATGCAATTTGATGTAATTGAAAAAGTAATTGAAAAATTCAATTACATTGAGATATTAATTAATTAAATTACAATTACAAATTACATTTTGAACATTCAATTACAAATTACATGCAATTACATAGATTTTTGTAATTAATTACATTCAATTACAATTACAAATTACAATTACCCCATGTTTGTTACGGACAGAAGGACACACGAGGCATCAACTATATCCCCCCCATTACATGCTGGGGGGATAAAAAGAAAAGAAAAGAAAACCAGTCTCCAGCGTGGGTATGTGTCAATCAATGATAGAAATGTTGCAGCTACAGCTTTTACACCGAGCTTAGCTCTAAGTAATCATGTCTCGACTAGAAATAACTGACAACTTGCATTCAGGAACCGACAACCAATCCTCCAACTCACAGAGTGAGGTTCTGATCGGGCCTATACTAAGTTATTTCTTAACCAGGTTACAAAATCAAGCACACAGACAGGTGCTTCATCTATAAGTGTTTATCAGTGGTATTCATTGTACAGTGCATCAATGTTATTGTTGAGTGAGTGAGTTTAGTTTTACGCCACACTCTGCAATATTCCACCTGGTGGTCTGTAAATAGTCGAGTCTGGACCGGACAATCTATTGATCAACAGCATGAGCATCAATCTACGCAATTGGGAACCGATGACATGTGTGAACCAAGTCAGCGAGCCTGACCATCCAATCCCCTTAGTCGCCTCTTATGACAAGCATGGGTTCAATTCTAACCCGGATCTATCAATGTTAGGACACAACAGAGAAAGTTGGAGTACATCTCATTATTAGCCATGCAGTGAATGTGCAACCATGGCGACTCTCAGTACAAGATATGACACAGATATGCATGTCCTATTGAATATTACCTCCACATCCAGTTCCAGGATATCACATTCCACCCCCAGTAGAGTGGACAGATTTGGAGTGGTTCGGCCGAAGTCTCCATGGACAAACTCTTTGATATAGCTACATGCTGCTAAGGAATAATATAGAGGAAAGGCAGTACTTTCCCTGGTTGAAATAAATATCTGAATTTCCCCAAAACATATTTCTTATGACACACAAGAAACAAGATAGAGGTGATGTAATGCAATGTGCATCTATGAACCCTTCAGTCTTGAGGCACTGGTGATTTATTGTAAAGGAGAGTTGGGTGGGTTAGGGTAGGTTTAATTAACAGTTAAAGAGGAAGTTGGAAAAATTTGTCACAACAAACGGGGGAGGGGGGTTGGGATGTCATGAACGAAAAAACGAAACATAAACAAGAGTCATCAGAAGATGACAAATCTCCCCGGCCCCCACAAATTTGAAAGAACAAATCATCTGACAGTTACTTAAAGTCCAACTTGATTTTTTTAAACTAAGTCCAAATTGTTTCCATGGAAACCGAGAAAAATAAAATGACAAAAATTTGCAAAAAGAGCACCACTTCTAGATCTGTTTGATATATTCGCCAAGTTTTGTTGAGAGATATTGAACGGTTTTCGAGTTGTGCTTCGGAACCAAAATGATTACGAACGAACGAACAGACAGATGAGGCGTCAACTATATTCCACCGCATTACATGGTGGGAGGATAAAAAATAACATATTTTGTACAAAAATTATTTCTGGACTAATTCAAACACTTACTTCGGGGATTGTCATGAAACATGAATTGGGAGGGAACCAAACAGATTATAAGGGACAAGGGTCGGCAAAATATGGTAGTCGTAAGACAGCATCACATCCTTATTTTTAGTGGAGCTTCAATAAATGATCAATTCAAAAAGGAGTTCATAGTATGGGCCTACATACCAGCAACACAACACTAACATATATCAGTATTCGACCATTTGACTGAAAACCCAGTGTCAGATATATTTCTATCCACAATCAATAATGAGATTGCTTAAGATTGCTTTCCCCATCTTAGTTTTGAGTGTTAATTCCTGAAGGATACGTCCCAGCTTGTGTGGAGAGATACAGCCGGAAGTGGTGCTTGTTGACCTTCACAGCATGCATGGTGTGTACCACCCTCTCACGACAGGCTAAAGGCCGTCTGGAAAAAGGGAAAATACCATTTAGTAATTTGCTCATAACTAGATTTCCCTGGACCCATCAGAGTGAATGAGTGACAGCGGAAAAGTGAGTGAGTGAGTTAGTTTGGTTTTACGCCGCTTTTAGCAATATTCCAGCAATATCACTGCGGCTACACCAGAAATGGGTTTCACGCACTGTACCCACATGGGGAATCGAACCCAGGTCCTCGGTGTGACGAGCGAACGCTTTATCCACTAGGCTACCCCACCAACCCAGACCCAGTACCAACCTATTACAGTTGTAGAGCTGACACCATCACAATTTTGTAACACAGGGCCTAGATTTTCGAAGCTCTCTTAGCGCTAAGATAGTCATAAGTTAATGCTAATGCATGGCACTTACGACTATCTTAGCGCTAAGAGAGCTTCGAAAATCTAGGTCCTGGCCTCCAAAATGATCTTATTGCTAAGATTAACAAGACTCTCTACGCTGACACACCCAATAGTGACAGGTACTCTAAATAATAACAGCTCCTCATCAGCTCCTGTGACAGGCTGCAGACCTATCAGATGCCTTTGTTAAAATCTGAAAGCTACAAAATATTAGCCCTTTGACTGAGTCTTATTATACAATGTCTATGGTATCAGTACAGATAGCCAAGCAGACATTTCCCCAGCATGAATTATAAGAAATCTTAAGCCGGGATTTATTCTTTTCACACTACAGAATTATCCAAAGATTCCCAGGAGGATGAAGTGGTCAGACAGACTGTTTGTCACTGTGAAAACTGTTATCTGAAGCTGTCCTGATCAATCAGAGATACCAATTTCTTTGTCAAGTGATTTTCTGCTTGCAAAAGCTCAACAATAAAAACTCATCGATGGATAAATATTTGCTTGTTTGTTGTTAAATGCCTTAATTATCAATATTCTAGCTGTTTAGTTCCATGTTAATAATCAAATATGGACAAAACAATTCTGTGACTGATATAACAAGCACACCCCACACCATCAGAGTTTGACAACATGTAATCAAGTCTTGAGCTTGACCATCTGATTATAAGACAACTGATTTGGTTCCTTATACAACAAGCAAGGGCTCTTAGGGCTTTGTTCAAACCCTCAAGATGCTCAAGATGTAACAGATTAATAAGAAGGTATAGGAATGATTTACCTGTGAAGTACTCTTATTGGTGTGTTCTGATCCAGTTTTAAGTCCTGAAATCATAAAAAGTACATAAACCCAGCATCATTATTAACGGGTGACAAAGTATGTAGGGTGTCAAAACATGTGATTTAACACCTGAAGAACATGTTGTTTATGCCTATACCATACTGATATATTTAATGATATTTCAAACTGGAAAACTTGACTGAGGTGAGGTGAGGTGAGGTGAAATTGGGTTTAACGTCCTGCTTGAGAACATTTCGCTTATATGACGACGTGCATGCGGGTGTTTGTGTATGTGCGGCTGCTTGTACTAGCCCAGACTGAAGCTGGTTCTATAGTGCTAGCCCACTGAGATACCATGCCGCAGTGAAGCATGAATACCCCACTCAGACACATTATACTGACTCCGAGCCGACCAGTCCTTGTTGTACCCATTAATGCCCAGCGCCAGGCAGGGACCAACAAGTACCATATTTTAACGTGTTTTGGTATGACGCGGTCGGGGATCGAACCCGCGACCTTCCGCTCTCTGGGCGGGCGCTCTAACCACTACACCACGGAGGCGGTTGAAAAATTGACTGAACATGATCCAAAAGGTACCAAATAACACACACGACAGCAACCAATGGTTTTGTGCAGCTACATGCAAAAAATGACAGTCAATGTTGGTATAAAATGGTTCTTTCTTGATGCAACTGAACTGCACCCACGGAAGTTACATCAATGTTAATATGTTACATCATTGTCATACTTTCATCTTTTATTATCTGATCTGTCAATAAAGACAGTGAGTATATATTGAAAAAAATCAGAATGTCCAAAGCTTCCTTTATTATGTTAGTACCGTTAATTCTTTCAGCTTGTCAAGTTGTTCCTGTTGTAGCTCTGTCTCGGACCAGCAGAGGGCGCTGTAAGACTTGGACTTTTCAATCTCGCCTTCCTTCAAGTTTGCTGTGTCCTCCCTTGGTGCAACAGTTCAGACATTATTGGAAGCCAACAAGCTGTGTGCGAAATAGTCACTGGCCCGCTAGCCCGTGGCTAATAAAAATCCAGTCGGGCCAGTGAATCTCCACAGTCACTGGCCCGACTGGTTAGTGAATTTTCATGGGGTCATTTTGTAAATACAGTCAAATCCCGATGAGTCGAATCGCTGGGGACCAAGTAATAAATTCGACTTATCGATGTATTCGAGACATAGGTATGTCTATGAGGGTAGAAAAAATGATGATCCAGTCCTAATTCCTCCGCCTAAGCATTTGTTTCGAATGATTTCCATATCACTAATAGGGACACCTTACCAGTTCCAGTCTGATTAGCACAGACAGTGATTTCCATAAAATCACTAATCTGCCTTTTGAACTCACCCGTCAATGGCGGAAAAGGTGTGAGCCGCGCTGGTTTGTTAATTGGATCAGTTTGCTACACCAATCAACTTCTCATTGACTGACTTCGGCTTATGTATACAAGATTGCTGTTGTTTGAATCTCATGGGACCAAATTTCCTTCTCGAGTCATCGTGTGTATTTATGAGACGAATTCGTGTAACCGGTATTCAAATGATGACAACTATAACAGGGAATGGTCGGGACCGACAGGTACTTCGAGTTATGCATAATATTCGAGACACCGGCATTCGACTCATCAGGATTTGACTGTATATCACTCTCTCCCTCTTGTTATGTGATAAAATATTTTGTTTATGCTCAAATAACTTAAATAAGTCATCATTAAGCTGATAATAATATGAACATTTTTATCAGGCCATAATCTTTCATGATTTAAAAGTGTATCATAAATTCAGACATGTGTTTGCTTATTTGTTTTGGAAGGTATTTTACCTTGTAATATTTTGCTGAGTTTCTACATTCAAATTTCGGGCTAGTGAATTATTTTGTGGGCTTGTAACTTTCAGGCATAGCTAGCTCAACTGGCCAGCAACATTTGGAAATTATTTTGCACACTGCCAGCAAGTGAAGCAAATAGGTTATTTCACTTGTCTCATCAGATGTTTTCTCTCATAATAAGAAATCAGATGGATTTTTTTCTCAAATGACATCTGCCACAGATGGGATACTTGGTGTCTATGACTGCAAACTGATCTTTGTGTGGAAAGCTACTGAAGAAATTTAAGAAAAGTCACTAAGTAGGCACTAACATGCAGCTTACGCAATGCTCATTCATATTTTCAAAGTACCCTTTTCCAACTATTCACCAGATTTACAGTAGTCTAAGTCTTACCTGGATACAATCTGCAGGTCCGATATTGCCACATCCTTGGTGAGACTATTGGTGTCCTGTTTAAAAAGGGAGAATGTCAACATATACAGAGGTCACTTAGTCTTTCATGATGTGTCACCTCCTAGTTTTCAGTTCCCCTCATTAGTTGCAAAATTGAATCTGGAAGTTGACAATGATTTTATTCTTTATTTTATGCAGAGCCACCCTCTATGAAGTTTAGGCAAAGAAAATTGTAAACCGTGAAATAAAACCACATGTAAAAGAACGTGTAATCTGTACCTACCTCTTGAATTGCCTTTAAGTCTTCCGCTGTGAACTTCACCACATGTGGGTTGATCAGTTCCACAACAAAAGGTCGACCTGGCAGTAACAAATAGTGTCATAAATACTTGATGTCTCATGATCATTATAACACATCTTAATAGTACCTGTATGAGGTATTGGGTACATATTACCTATGGATCATTGAGCAGCAAGATGACTAATAGGTCCAGGGTACATATGGATCATCAATCATCAAGTTGACTACGGGGTACAGGGTACATATGGTTCATTGATCACCAAATTGACTAGGGGTAACAGGGTACATATGGATCATCAATCAGCAAGTTGACCGTGGGGTACATATGGATCATCGATCAGAAAGTTGACTACGAGGTACAGGGTACATATGGATCATCAATCAGCAAGTTGACTACGGGGTACAGGGTACATATGGTTCATTGATCAGCAAATTGACTTGGGGTAACAGGGTACATATGGATCATCAATCAGCAAGTTGACCATGGGGTACATATGGATCATCGATCAGAAAGTTGACTACGAGGTATAGGGTACATATGGTTCATTGATCAGCAAATTGACTAGGGGTAACAGGGTACATATGGATCATCAATCAGCAAGTTGACCATGGTGTACATATGGAGCATCGTTCAGCAAGTTGACCATGAGGTACAGGGTACATATGGTTCATTGATCAGCAAGTTGACTAGGGGTACATATGGATCCTCGTTCAGCAAGTTGACCATGAGGTACAGGGTACATATGGTTCATCGTTCAGCAAGTTGACTACGGGGTACAGGGTACATATGGTTCATCGTTCAGCAAGTTGAGCATGAGGTACAGGGACATATGGATCATTGATCAGCAGGTTGACTATGGGGTACATAGAGATTATCGTTCAGCAAGTTGACTACGGGGTACAGGGTACATATGGATCATCAATCAGCAAGTTGACCATGAGGTACAGGGTACATATGGATCATCGTTCAGCAAGTTGACCATGATACCCATGGTACATATGGATCATCGATCAATCAGCAAGTTGACTAGGGGTACAGGGTACATATGGTTCATCGATCAGCAAGTTGACTAGGGGTACATATTGATCATCATTCAGCAAGTTGACCATGAGGTACAGGGTATATATGGATCTTCGATCAATCAGCAAGTTGACTAGGGGTACAGGGTGCATAAGGATCATCGTTCAGCAAGTTGACCATGAGGTACAGGGTACATATGGATCTTCGATCAAACAGCAAGTTGACTAGGGGTACAGGGTGCATAAGGATCATCGTTCAGCAAGTTGACCATGAGGTACAGGGTACATATGGATCTTCGATCAAACAGCAAGTTGACTAGGGGTACAGGGTGCATATGGATCATCGTTCAGCAAGTTGACCATGAGGTACAGGGTACATATGGATCATTGATTAGCAGGTTGACTATGGGGTACATATGGATTATCGTTCAGCAAGTTGACTACGGGGTACAGGGTACATATGGATCATCAATCAGCAAGTTGACCATGAGGTACAGGGTACATATCGATCATCGTTCAGCAAGTTGACCATGATACCCATGGTACATATGGATCATCGATCAATCAGCAAGTTGACTAGGGGTACAGGGTACATATGGTTCATCGATCAGCAAGTTGACTAGGGGTACATACTGATCATCATTCAGCAAGTTGACCATGAGGTACAGGGTACATATGGATCATAGATTAATCAGCAAGTTGACTAGGGCAAGGGTACATATGGTTCATAGGGTACATACATATTGATCATCATTCAGCAAGTTGACCATGAGGTACAGGGTACATATGGATCATGGATTAATCAGCAAGTTGACTAGGGGTACAGGGTACATATGGTTCATCGATCGGCAAGTTGACGGGGTACATATTGATCATCATTCAGCAAGTTGACCATGAGGTACAGGGTACATATGGATCATGGATTAATCAGCAAGTTGACTAGGGGTACAGGGTACATATGGTTCATCGATCAGCAAGTTGACTAGGGGTACATATTGATCATCATTCAGCAAGTTGACCATGAGGTACAGGGTACATATGGATCTTCGATCAATCAGCAAGTTGACTAGGGGTACAGGGTGCATATGGATCATCAATCAGCAAGTTGACCATGAGGTACAGGGTACATATGGATCTTCGATCAATCAGCAAGTTGACTAGGGGTACAGGGTACATATCGATCATCGTTCAGCAAGTTGACCATGAGGTACAGGGTGCATATGGATCATCGATCAATCAGCAAGTTGACTAGGGGTACAGGGTACATATGGTTCATCGATCAGCAAGTTGACTAGGGGTACATATTGATCATCATTCAGCAAGTTGACCATGAGGTACAGGGTACATATGGATCATCGATTAATCAGCAAGTTGACTAGGGGTACAGGGTACATATGGTTCATCGATCAGCAAGTTGACTAGGGGTACATATGGATCTTCGTTCAGCAAGTTGACCATGAGGTACAGGGTACATATGGATCATCGATTAATCAGCAAGTTGACTAGGGGTACAGGGTACATATGGATCATCCAGCTATGACTTGACCACTAGGTGCAATTGGGATATGCAATTGGGATACGACAGGTGCACACTCACCTGTCCCCAACATCCGGACATCCACATCTTCTCTTCCTGATGATGACAACTTGTGATCTGCATGTAGAATATATATCAGTCATGTAGTGTACAACCACTTCAAGTATATCTGTCCTACGTTAGTGTCCATAGTGTCTTAATACATCTACCTTCATCAGTACAATGTTGAGGTCATTGAGTTTTGAATGGCTCTATATTGTAAGTGCATCTGTACCTGTTGGCTTGAACTTGTCAAGGATGATCCCACAAAGCAGTTCCTGAACTGACGTCTCGGACTTGCGGCCACCATCAACAATCCATGGCGTCTGGCTGAGATTACGGCTGTATTTGTTGTATCTGCCTAATCAATCAAATTAAGCTTAGAAAGTAGGTGAAGAGATGAGGTGAGGTGAGGTGAGGTGAAATTGGGTTTTACGTCGTGCTTGAGAATATTTCGCTCATATGACGACGTGCATGCGAGTGTATGTGTATGTGTGGCTGCTTGTACTAGCCCAGACTTAAGCTGGTTTTATAGTGCTAGCCCACTGAGATACCATGCCGCAGTGAAGCATGAATACCCACTCAGACACATTATACTGACTCCGAGCCGACCAGTCCTTGTTGTACCCATAATGCCGAGAGCCAGGCAGGGACCAACAAGTACCATATTTTATTGTATTTTGGTATTACGCGGTCGGGGATCGAACCCGCGACCTTCCGCTCTCTGGGCGGACGCTCTAACCACTACGGTTGTAGGTGAAGAGGCTTATATACACCAAGGAAATTGAAACATCTTTCATCATCATCAGCAGCAGCAGCAGCATACCCTTAATCATAATCATCATGTCTACTCTACAACTTATATCATCATCATCATCATCTCCCTTATAATCATAATCACTATGTCTACTCTACAACTTATATCATTATCATCATCATCATCATCATCTCCCTTATAATCATAATCACTATGTCTACTCTACAACTTATATCATTATCATCATTATAAGCATACTCTTTGTAATCATGTCTACTCTACAACTTCATCATCATCATCATGTTACATTTAATATATACCATCATATTTATTGCTTCAATCTCAATGACAACCAAAACATCTCAATGATCATGATAATCACATGGACGCTTTTCACTAGTTTCATCTCTGCCAGCAGTATCCTTATCATCATCATCATCATCACTTCAACAACCAAACACTGCAACATGTTACCTGCTATAAAGACGGATTCATGTGAGCACCCCAGCCGGTAATGACACTTGCTGGCTGGCCGGGCAGGGGGACATGTGTAGCACCTGAGGGGGAACACCACAAAAACCAATACTCAGTCTCAAACATCATGTCTGGATACATTAGTTACAATCTGTTTCATCCCTTCTGTGACGTGTACCTCGTAGGAGTGAGTTTGGTTTTACGCCGCACTCAGCAATATTCCAGCCATATGGCAGCGGTCTGTAAATAATCAAGTCTGGACCAGACAATCCATTGATCAACAGCATGAGCACTGATCTACGCAATTGGGATCCGATGACATGTGTCAACCAAGTCAGTGAGCCTGACCATCCAATTAAGTTAGACGCCTCTTACGACAAGCATGGGTTGCTGAAGATTAAGTCTGCCCGGATCTTCACAGGCAGTATATTGTAGGACTATACGCCAAGTGCACTGCAGGTAGCTGATGTCAGTGTATTGATTTTTGGTTGATTGTTTTAAAAAATTTACTCTTCTCATGCAGATGATAGCTACTTAGTTTCAATGTTCATTTTGTCAATTATTCATCAATAATTATAACTATGATTTGTTACGAGTGGAGAGATCAATCACACAACAGTGCGTTAAACATTTCTCCCAAAATGTTTAACGCATTAACTTCTATATATAACTGCGTCAAGGGACGGGTTCGTGATAGCTCTTCATCTTTATCTCAACTATTTGATTGCCCACATGGCTTGTGTCAAGGGTGCGTTTTAAGCCCCTTGATCTTTTCCTTCTTTATCAATGAATTAGCTTTAGAAGTTGAGTCAAGCTGTTACCCTGGAATACAATTGCACCCTGATGTTGTACAAATATTCCTTCTGTTATTTGCTGATGATATAGTGTTATTTGCTGATACTATATATGGTCTACAAAAACGTATTAATGTTCTAGAAGGCTTTCGTGAAAGTCATCAGTTATCAGTAAACATAGAAAAAACTAAAGTTGTTGTTTTTAAGAATGGCAGCAAGATATCGAAACATGAGAAATGGTTTTTGAATGGGAATCTACTAGAAACTAGTCTTATAAATATTTAGGTGTTATTTTTTCAAGATCCCTGTCATGGACTTTTCATGTAAATAGTGCAGCTTTACAGGCGAAATTTTTTTATATAGTGTGCTTAAATCTCTACATATATTTAATCCATTGCCATATGATCTTTTTTTAAAGATTTTTGACTCTAAAATTAGTCCCATTCTCCTCTATGGTTCGGAAATATGGGGCTTAGATAATTATAAAGAAGTTGAAATTTTACAAATGTTTGCATGTAAACGATTTCTTGGGGTTAAATGTGGATGTGGACGTTATCCAATGTATATTTAGGAGATAAACCTACTGTGTGGGAAAATCAGAGGTATATAACGTAATTATAATAGCTCTAAATCTCATTTAACGCCAGCAGTAGCGTGAGGTTTTAAATGAACAATTTAGAGCTATTATAATTTCGTTATATACCTCTGATTTTCCCACACAGTGGGTTTATCTCCATTCTACCATGGCAATTTTATGAACAATTTCAGGTGGAGCTCTTTCTTTGGTTACGAGTCAATGCGTGAAGCGGCCTCACATTCCAATCTCAAGTGGCATCGCCGAACGGGTGATTGGCGGCAAACCGTCAATGACTAACAAACTCCAGATTCAGTAATAACAAATCACATTTTGTTTTTCAATGCATTAATCACCAATCATTAACTGATAAGTTGGAAAACATATATCAAATAAGTTTAAAAAGCTTGGTTCACATTTGAAAATTCCACCGTAGACCCTTTCCCCACCAGAATAATGGCAGCAACCTCATGGCCTTGACCTTTTCTCGAAGTCATTGTTTACATTTACGGGCAAATTTGGAAAGATGTTACAGGAGAGCCTCTGACAGTTTTTGCTAAGGTTAACCTGATTGTATGACTGAGATAGTCTTTGATATCTAATTACTGGTACTGGTACAAAATTTAAGAGTAGAGGCTTTTGCTGTAACGAGAAGTCCGTGTTAAAATCGAATTTAGGTACTGTTGAATTTTGCGCCCAGTCAACTTGCGATTTCACGCACCTCGTCTGCGTGCGCGACAGCTGTGGTGACTCTTACACTCATGTGTGTACTTTGTGCTCAAATTCGATTCTCACGGATATTATTTTTTAATTTTGGAAAGTGTTTTGTGACCTAGTGGCTTCAAAGTGTAGTGAATTCAAATTGAATCGGATTGGCTGGCATGTTCGCGAGTCTGTTGACAAAGACCCTGATTTGTGGTGATATTTCCGAAAGGATGGATCAGGACATGAGGGTGTACCTCTGGCAAACACACGGTAAGGTAATTAATTATACTTTAATAGACTACTTTAGATCAAGCAGTGTAATGGATAAGAGGGATCATGACTAAGCTAAATAACTTTTTCAACGATATTATACTTTCAGAAAAAAAATATGTTGGGCTAAACAGAACGGTTTGAAGATTCTGTAATTGTGTTTTACTACCGCTAAATTTGAAACAGGACAAATTTCAAATATCATTTTGTTTGAATTGATAACCCAACTGTTTATTTATGTGGACGGAAAGCATTAAAATTTCTTCGGCGTTCGATGTTAGTGCATCCTCCGGTACCGGATCAAAATCAGTGGCGATATCGTTGACGAAAGCTGATAATTAATTTAACACGGAAATTAGCAGTCTGACATAACATAGAATCAACGTAAACATATTTGTTTTTGCTGAATTTTTATTCGGAAAGCAGACGATGTTTTGATCTTGTTTGACTGAATATTTGTTTCCATGCTTTCGAAGTACTTTTGTATGTATAAACACCTATTGCTGTGATTTACGCAAGTAGTGAGTCGAGCCCGTCATCGCTAAATCCATCTTTAAAGACATGTGTAATTTCCGACAGGTTGTTTGGTGTCCGCCATGTTGGTGGGCAGACAAAAATAGTGCATTACCGTAAACCATGTATGATTGCGCAAGGGAAACAGAGACCTGTATAACGTGATTATATACCTCTGAATGACTTTAATTAACCAATCACAATCCAGTGTTTACTGAAGTCATGGTAGAATTTTACTTATAAAAGGGCCGTTGCCTACTGGTGTAAAATATGCAATATGTCTGATACGAGATTTGTGAACAAATGTTATAAGTTATTAGTTCTAGATTGTATCAAGGGGAAAAGTAACTGGGCCGCTAAAATCAAACATATTCTCTACATGTATGGATTTGGCTATCTTTGGGAGGAACAATGTGTAGTTGGTGTTAGAAATTTTATGTTGGTGTTTGTATACAGACTTAAAGTATCTTATGAGCAAGATTGGCATGCAGCCCTCAATAGCAGCACTAAATATTCAACATATATTTCGTTTAAATCATCATTTGGCTAGGGCTTCGTTTGCTCAATTTAGATGTTATTCACACCGGCTTCGAATTGAAACTGGAAGATATGCTAATGAACTGACTGACTGAGTTAGGTTTTACGCTGCTTTTAGCAATATTCCAGCAATATCACGGCAGGGGACACTATAAATGGGCTTCACATATTGTACCCATGTGGGGATTCGAACCCGGGTCTTCGGCGTGACGAGTCAACGCTTTAACCACTAGGCTACACCACCGACCCATATGCTAATGAAACTAAAGTTGATAGATTACGTCTTGTAAGCAAAGAACGATATATTGAAGATGAATACCATTTTTTATTAGTATGTAATGTATACCAAGATCTAAGGTCTTTACTTTTGCCAAAGAAATATTATTTGAATCCTACTGTACATAAATTTAACATGTTAATGTCAGAGATAAATCCAGAAACTTAAATTTTTTTTAGCAGTGTATGTATATAAAGCTATGCATCTTAGACAGTCATTTGTACATATTGTAACATAACCGAACCGTATGTTATTGTTTATATTGTATATTGTATATACTCTCTCATAGTCAATTGTAAATGTAGAATTGGCCTGTGGCCTCCACTACAAGAAATAAAGATTGATTGATTAACAATGTAAAATAGTTTTAACAAGAAGACAAAGTCATCAATATCCCCCGCAATGGCAAAATACTCTTCATGATTATGTCTACGAGTTATGATTATGTCAAATATTTAGGTGTGTATATAGAAAAGTGGAAGGAGAGTATTGAAAGGTTTTAGAAGTTCTGCTCCAGAAAGGAGCACTATCACCAATTTCAGTCTATGTCAAACTTGTTGCCATGGAAATGCCAAAAATATTTTATTCAGAAATCCAAAACTACCAAAAGGCACCAGTACACCACCAAACCAATCTATGTGCCCAGTTTGGTGAAGAAACAGTGAACAGTTTTAAAGTTCTGCTCTGGAAAAGAGTACTACCACCAATTTCAGGCTAAGTCAAACTTGTTGCCATGGAAATGCAAAAATATTATATTCAGAAAACCAAAACTACCAAAAGGCACCAGTTCACGACCAGATTTCTCTATGTGCCAAGTTTGGTGAAGAAACATTGAACGGTTTTAGAGTTCTGCTCCGGAAAAGAGTACTACCACCAATTTCAGTCTAAGTCAAACTTGTTGCCATGGAAAAGCAAAAAATATTATATTCAGAAAACCCAAACTACCAAAAGGCACCAGTTCACCATCAGATCTATCTATGTGCCAAGTTTGGTGAAGAAACATTAAACAGTTTTAGAGTTCTGCTCCGGAAAAGAGTACTACCACCAATTTCAGTCTAAGTCAAACTTGTTTCCATGGAAATGCAAAAAATATTACATTTAGAAATCCAAAACTACCAGAAGGCACCAGTATACAACCAGATCTATCTATGTGCCAAGTTTGGTGAAGAAATAGTGAACGGTTTTAGAGTTCTGCTCCGGAAAAGAGTACTACCACCAATTTCAGTCTAAGTCAAACTTGTTGCCATGGAAACGCAAAAAATATTTTATTCAGAAATCCAAAACTACCAAAAGGCACCAGTAGACCACCAGATCTATCTATGTGCCAAGTTTAGTGAAGAAACATTGAACGGTTTTAGAGTTATGCTCAGGAAAGGCAAATGTGCACGGACGCACACACAGACGGACAGACGGAGTCCATTTTAATACCCCCCGCAAAACGCGTTGCAGGGGATAATAATGGCAGTCTATTCATATGCACAAATGTGAAAAAGAAGGTATCATTGGTTAGAAGTCTTACTTTGGTTATACAACTGTTCCTGTTCCAACCCATTCCTCAGAATAATAACACATAAATCCATCAAATGAAATCCACGCAATGCCTACATGGCATATTCAGATAGTCAGTTTAAACCTGCCGACATGCTAATCCTTTCATTTCACTCCCGACCTGGGCACTGGACACTTTCTGTTTAACCTTGTTTGAAGAAGTCAAAAGCCCAAGCTACAATTATATAACCCCTTTGTAGATTGATTACCCCAGCTGAAGCAAAGACAATGAAAAGTGGTCAGCGGTAAAGCAGAGCTTCTGAGTTGAACAGGTGTTTTGGTGAATAGGTATTTTAGGGGAGAAAAGGGAACATAACTATACCGGATCTTCACGGGTAAGGTGACCAACTGCTTGATTGATGCATCCTATCACAGTTGCATAGATTGCTCATGATATCATTCACTGGATTGTTTGGTCCATACACGATTATTTACAAACAACAGTCATAGAGCTAGAAAACAGCTGAGTGTTGTGTAACACAACAAGCAAACAAAACATCTGGATATCCCATTAATCACTATATGTTTTAAGTTACCAGTTCCAGCAAAAAATACACCATCATCAGTACTTACTCCTGGAATTTTCCATCACTGATTTCTCGGACAGCTTTCGCCACATTTGTTCTTGTGAATGTCTCGAAGTCAAACTGTGGTAATTAGTGGAAATAAAGATAGAATATATAATCATGTAATATTTAGTCAATCCTAATTGGAAATGATGAATGATTAAATAACCCAAAATAGGGATAAGTGCACAAAACATAAATAAGACACTGATAAGATGCTGAAACCTCTGTACCCAACAGGATCTGAAATCTGACGATCTATGATCGATCATGGAAAAAGTTGTTTAAGAAAACTATCATGTAATATTGCTCTATTTTCATGCTTCACTCCGAGGGGTGACAAACGGCTGGTGGAACAGCGCCACCACCGCAACTGAGCACAGCCGGGTGAGATGACCCCTACTGGACAGGAAACAGCCGGCACAGTTCCACCAGCCGTTTGTCACCCCTCAGTGCCGTAGTTTGAAGCTAAAATTCGTAGCGACTACGAAAAATCGTAGAGGATGGCATCTCTGAAGATTCATTTGAAAAATCAAGCACAATTTTGTTTGGGTTTACTCCCGATTTTGACAGTCTGAATTTTGACAGTGAAATTTCACACTTCTGTAATTGATCTACCCAGTTGTCCCAATTTTGACAGTGAGCTTACCAGTCGTCCCAATTTTTTACAGTCCTCGGCTCACACATGTTAATTAATCCCTGACTAGCCCTGACTGATTGTGGGAGCTACTGTAACAGAATACGACTAAAACCTAAGACTAAAACAAAAAAGACTAAAACTAAAACAGTTTATTCTTGAAAGTCAACCACTTCAAAGTCGTCAATCACTGAGCAACACTGAGAGCCAGCACACTGCCACAGGCAGAAAAATATGACACCATAATTCTGTCACATGTCATGTATCTCAAACCAAGTTGGTACAAAGTTGCTGAAGCATTTACAACACGATGTCTCTTCATCTGTTTCTGCCCACCCTGCAGCTGTATAATATACACTTCTTTGTTAGTCCCAGTTTTGACAGCGAAACTTCACACCTTAACAGATCAGTGGCCAAGATGCTGTCAAGAATGGGACACTACCGTTGTTAGACTATCTGGGTATGAAACTTTTGTATGTGTATGCTAGCAACTAGAACATAATGAGCTTATGGTGATTTAGTTTGAATAACTTATCGGGAGCTCTGAGTAACTGACAGTAAGTAAAGCCACTTTTAACTGAACATCAGATACATCAACAAAATCAACTGGCTCATGAAATGCCTGCTTAATGTGGGAGACATGGGTAAATATGAGATTCAAAACCACAATCACAGGATCCTGGCATGCAAAGGGACACAACTCCGCTCATCAAATGAACAAGAATAATGATCATGTAATAACTGGTGTTCACTGACACCTTCATCATTAATCAGTTTCACTGTACAAAATGAAAGATGAAGAATCACAATCATAATCACTCCTAAATCACTGACCGCCTCCGTGGTGTAGTGGTTAGAGCGTCCGCCCGGAGAGTGGCAGGTCGCCGGTTCGATCCCCAACCGCGTCATACTAAAAGATGTTAACATATGGTACTTGTTGGTCCCTGCCTGGCGTTCAGCATTAATGGGTACAACAAGGACTGGTCGGCTCGGAGTCAGTATAATGTGTCTGAGTGGGGTATTCATGCTTCACTGCGGCATGGTAACTCAGTGGGCTAGCACTATAGAACCAGCTTAAGTCTGGGCTAGTACAAGCAGCCGCACATACATACACACGCATGCACGTCGTCATATGAGCGAAATATTCTCAAGCACGACGTAAAACCCAATTTCACCTCACCTCACCTCACCCAAATCACTGTCAGAACAATAATTACCTTTTTCATTTTGCGTCTTCGGAAAACATGAGGCTGAACATCAAGGCTGGAAAACATGGTGAAGAGAAGACTAAACACACACAACACAACAGCTTATATGTTCAATATGGTCACAAATATCCTGGGAAGAGTCTCGATATCATAACACGATTTGTCAAGATTTAGTACAGATACCTGGCAGTAAAATCTACTACTACTTACATTTGATATGCCTTATCATATTAATGGAGATGTTCCATGTTACCTATGTAATGGAGGGACTTGATTTCATAAAATGTATTCAACATGTCCTCTACTGTTACATGTGGAACAGAATCAGTCCTTGCCGTGCTGCAGTATATTTGGTAGTTTCAACAGTATACTTGCAAGTTGCATTTATCATTGACCTTCTTAGTTACATGGGCAGCGGGGTAGCCTAATGGTTAAAGCGATCGCTCGACACATGGAATACCCAGGTTCGATTCCCCACATGGTACAATGTGTAAAACCCATTTCTCGTGTCCATCGCGGTGATATTGCTGGAATATTGCTAAAAGTGGCGTAACACCATACTCACTCACTCTTAGTTACATGAAATATCAGGTGACAATATCCCACTGACAATGACAGACTGCACAGAGTGCATTCTACATATATATTGAACAGGCTAATAAATACCACTTGCTACACAAGATGTAAACAAACAGAAATAAAAGGATTGACTTCAAGATTCTCTGCCTCACCTATCAGTCTTTCTACAACTCAGGACCTTCCTACCTTCAAGACCTACTGACACATTCCTCTCCAGAAAGAACTCTACGATCATCACAACAACTGTTGCTCGCTGCCCCAAGCTATAATCTAAAATCGTTTGGCCCAAGAACCTTTTCATATGCAGCAGCTTCTCTGTGGAACTCTTTCCAAATCGAGTTAAAATCATCTCCTTCCCTAAATGACTTTCATTCAGCACAATGTTCTTATTTCAATCCTATTAATGTACTCTACAAATAGACGATATACACTTTATACATGTTTAATGTTCCATTAAAGTATGTGGTGCAACCACTTTGTCTGTTGTGCAGTCAGATGTTAACTAGGTGGGAAGAGAAAACCCTAAAATCGCACCCTAAATGTAGAATAGGATTATATACTTACAGGAAGTTGCATTCTTTCTCTGCATCATCGTGAGTGAAGCTGACTGATATATCAAACTGACTCTGTAAAGGATCACAAAGGTGAGTAAGTGAATATTGTTTTATGTTTGGAATCAATACTGTAGTTTGTGAAGTTTGGTCGGCAGCACTCACAGCAAAAATACCTTGGTTTACGCAATGCTGAAACCTGATAGAAAGTGGACTGAAACTTAAGTTTCCAATTAGAATTCAATGAGTTTCCACAGGAACGGAAACTTGCAATTACCCACTTTCTACAGGTTTCCGCAGGGTATCCATTACCCAGACTCCAACAGGTTTCCGTTGAGTTTCAGTTAACTTAGAATCCATCAGGTTTCCTGTCTGATACCCAGACTTGAACAGGTTTCCGCATAGTTTCAGTTACCAACAATCCGACATAGATTCTGCAGCATTTCAGTTACTCGGGTTTACAGGTTTTCATATGCGTTTCATAGAGATTATTCTTATTCATTCCTACTGAATTTGTTATAATCGTCATGTTAAAAATATATATTCATGTTTAATGTGACATTCACTATGATTCAGGACTATCACCCTGCAGCAAGCAGGTCTGCATGTCCAGGCATTGACCACTGACCATCCACTTCTGGACGGATGGTCTAAAAGTATGTTGAGTTTGGGGCTAGTTAGCACTTGAGTCGGCAGACACAAACTACTGTTTAACCTGAGATGAAATGGTTACATGATCTAGGCATTTTGGTTCACTCATTGCTCACTTTGAGCTGGTATAATTATACCAGTATCCATGACAACTGTGGTACCATGGTAATGGAAACTGATTCCGTTTGTACAACTCACTCTCAGCTGGAATGATTGATTATACCAGTATCCAAGACAACTCTGGTACCAAGGTAACAGAAACTAATTCTGCTTGTGTACTACTCACCTTGAGCTGGAATGAAGAACCCAATATCCGAGACAGCTCTGGACCAGAGAACCACTTCCAGACGTCCTTCACTGATGGGATAGCTTCATCATCCAAACCACGATATGCAAAACTGGATTTGAAAAACATGACTTTTCAGATGCTTTGTACTAAGCCACTATACCGCCTCAAGAACAACAAAGTAAGGGGGGCATCATCTTAGGAGTTTATTCTGGGACTTAGAACAGGGCAATACACATGCAACCAAACCATTACAAGCATATCACAACAAACTAACTTCAGTGGACAACATTAGCATTGGCATGATGCAGATTTAAACCCATAATCATTGGTTTTTGCACATCAAAGGGACATAATTCTGAGTGATGAACACTAATCTTTAGTTTGAGGGTGCGAGTTAAGTTTTACGCCACTCTCAGCAATATTTCAGCTAAATTGCAGTGGTCTGTAAATAATTGAGTCTGGACCAGAAAATCCAGTGATCAACAGCATGAGCATCGATCTGCGTAATTGGGAACCAATGACATGTCAACCATGTCAGCGAGCCTGACCATCTGATCTCATTAGTCGCCTCTTATGACAAGCATGGGCTGCTGAAGATCAATTCTAATCCGGAGAGGCGTCTCTCGTACGCGTAACGGTTGTGTGAGGGCAGTTTGTTTGTCTATGACGAGCAGTGGGAGGAAAGTAGACATGTTTCAAAGCGATGGCACACCTATGTGCGTTCGTGTACATGAAAATGTACTTACATGAGGGATATCAGCACTGAATAAGCTTTCAGGAAATATTAAAATCTTGTTTCTGTGAAATTGGCACATAGGTCAAAATTGTCGTCAAAAACTGACTACTTTTGCTTGTGATTCTAAGAGGCGTCTCTTGTACGCTAAACGGGGCTGTGAGGGCAGTTTGTTTGTCTATGACGAGCAGTGGGAAGAAAGTAGACATGTTTCAAAGCGATGGCACACCTATGTGCGTTCGTGTACATGAAAATGTACTTACATGAGGTATATCTGCACTGAATAAGCTTTCAGAAAATATTATAATCATGTTTCTGTGAAACTGGCACATAGGTCAAAATTGTCGTCAAAAACTGACTACTTTTGCTTGTGATTCTGAGAGGCGTCTCGCGTACGCGTAACGGGGGTGTGAGGGCGGTTTGTTTGTTTGTGACGAGCAGTGGGAGGAAAGTAGATGTTTCAAAGGGATGGCACACCTATGTGCGTTCGTGTACATGAAAATGTACTTACATGAGGTATATCTGCACTGAATAAGCTTTCAGAAAATATTATAATCATGTTTCTGTGAAGCTGGCACATAGGTAAAAATTTTCGTCAAAAACTGACTAATATGACAGCAAACTGAAAATTTACGCAGGCGCATTGTTTTTACATCGGTAGAAGTGACTCCCTCTCTTAGTCCCTTTTTCCAATGATCATACTTCCACCAATATATAGGCCGTATAAAAAATGTTAGTCGTCATTTTGTATTAATTTATTATATATCCTCTTTGTTGTAACGCAAGAAAAAGATCCCCATATATAGTACGTACGCTTCTGACAGTCCAAGTGTTTTGACTGAACAATTTAGTCAGGCACCAGTTACCTCCCCTTAATGACTCGCTTCCCCAGTCACTTCTACGGGAGACGGTTCGCTCAGTTTTAAAGAAAGTAAACATGTTTCAACACGATAACAAACGGGTGTGCGTTGGTGTGCCTCCAAAGCTGCATATATATTTCGAATCTGCAATGAATGAGCTTTCAGAAAATACTAAATGTAAGTTTCTGAAAAATATGCACATAGGTGAAATTCACTGTTCAATATCGACAAATATTGCCTAAATTTTGCACATTTTTCTCAACATTTGACTATTTAAAGTTATCTTTTTACGTTTTCATTCATGTCAATCAATAACTTGAACAGCTATCAATGACTGTAGCAAATTTTATTTCATTATTTTCGTAAATAACACTTTTAGACGTGTTTTTGTGTGACATGCAGAATTTCCCTGTCTGTGATCAGGCAGTCACGCGAATGAGTGACCCCCTCTCAGGTAGTCACTTGTACGCGTAACGGAGGACCGTCTCGCGTACACGTTACGTCCTCTACTGTTCATGGGTCTAATCTTTAGATATCACAGGGGATAGAGATTCTCAACTACAGGTCAAACTGCTGTTTCACTAACTGACCCAAAATGTTCTCAGAATGTGAGGTATTTCACTAAGATTACAATTCAACATGTTTATAGCATATGACGAAAACAACTTACTCAAATTTGTTCCCAAGGTGTAATGAAAGAGCATGCTGAAAGGAAAGGTATACAGTTAATACAACTATTGGCATGCAGTGCATCAAATCTCATTAGCATCATAGGTTTCAACTGTTTGCCATAGACAACATGGTCACAAACAACCATCTAGAAACCGGGTTTGCAGGAATGTATTTTCATTTGATTTATTACCATGGTTACCATAGTTATTGATGCCATGGAAATCAACACAATCTATACTTCTTATAAAGGATGAATGAACCAAGGCCACTCTTTGGAGTTAAGGCATGCATAGTTTTTCAAAAAGAGAGTAACTCATGTCAGTAAAACTTAAAATAACTCTGAGATGCTGTATTACTTGCCAGCTACCACTGAAAGTCCATGAAACTGGAAAGTAGCTTTCTTACTGATATTATTCATGTAGTCTGGATATATAACTGACTGACTGAGTTTGGTTTTAAGCCGCTTTAAGCAATATTCCAGCAACATCACGGCGGGGGACACCAGAAATGGGCTTCACACATTGTGCCCATGTGGGGATTCGAACCCGGGTCTTCGGCGTGACAAGCCAACGCTTTAACCATTAGGCTACCCCACCTCCCCTCTGGATATATAAATCATGATTACTTTGATTATAGAGTAATGTGACAATTCTTCGAATCTCATTATCATATGTCACACATTTATAATTCTGCTTGGCCATTTTACATCACATTTTTGTGAAATTTTACAAAATGTGACTTTACTGGCAGTTTGTCAACAGGCACTTTCCAGATACTGCTCACTGACAAAATGCCTTAAAAATATTTAATAATTAGGTCTGGACCAGAAATTTCAGTGATTCATATAGACTAGCAGTGAGCCTAGTCATCAGGTTACGATGACAAACAGAATACCGAGCTACTGGCTCTCAGGCAATCCATGTGCTTGTCTCTCACAACCAGCATGGTTTGCTTCGAACCAATTATAACCAATTAAATATCACTGTGGCATCATCACAATGTTCACATGTATTACCGAAATTCCTTTGACATACACATAGATACAAGCTTACAAGAATCCAGTAGTTTTTTACACAGAATACATCCATTGGTCATTTCTGTCTTCAGGATACCACAAATTCTAAATGAGTGAGTGAGGGAGTGAGTGAGTTTAGTTTTACGCCGCTCAGAGCAATTTTCCAGCTATATGGCAGTGGTCTGTAACTAATCGAGTCTGGACCAGACAATCCAGTGATCAACAGCATGAGTATCGATCTACACAAGTGGAATATGATGACATATGTCAGCCAAGTCAGCGAGCCCGACTATCCGATCCCGTTAGTTGCCTCTTACAACAAGCATGGGTTACTGAAGATCAATTCTAGCCCGGATGTTCATGGGTATCTAAATGAAGCTTTAAGATACTGGTAACACAGAAACCTAAACTTGCTCAACATGTAATGTTTTTATCCTAATTTAAAGAGAGGTTAATCTTAATACTTACTATTTGCCATTAACATTTTACATGAGGACAAGAAATATTGTTCCCTACCTCTCTGAGTATGTTGGAGACTGGCAGTGACAGTGAGCACTGATAGTTGATGAACTCAAAGCCATTCTTGTCCACACACTGCTTGATCTGCAACAGAGCGAGTTAAGCATTAAGCAATATTCCAGCAATATGACAAATAGGGGCACCAGAAATGGGCTTCACACAGATTTGAAATCGAAGATGTCAGACACAAGTAGAGTTCAGACAGTTAAAAATCAACATCAGCCCCTTGATATAGTTATGTGGTGCTGTTGTCAGATCTTTTTGGCGCCTCTAGAAATTGGATCTAGCCAGAACTGACCCCTAGGGAGACAAACATGTGCACTGAGTACCTATTCTAGGCAGAACTGACCCCAAGGGAGACAAACACAGGCAATGAGTACTTATTCTAGGCAGAACTGACCCCAAGGGAGACAACACAGGCAATGAGTACTTATTCTAGGCAGAACTGACCCCTAGGGAGACAAACACGGGCAACGAGTACTGATTCTAGCTCCAAGAGAGTGCTGTAACCTCTCACCTTCTGTAGGAAGTCTGTGCAGCAGAAGTCCTCTAAGATGCCCAGACACACGGGACAGGGAGGAGTTCCACTACTGCTCAGTTCCTCCTCTTCACACAGCTGGCACACAAGTTTCCGCAGGTCCTGCAACATTTGGTCCATTCCAGTCTAACATGAGCCCCTACCCCAACTAAGGAAATGTCAATCCAACCATGCAAGTATTTCTTTCAACTGGGACACAAGATGGACTGCTGTGGCCAGTTGGCTGATTGACAGACCAAGATCTGCCCTGCAGTAGAAACAGTGGGGCTGCAGTTGATTGGTACTCATTGTAGTCCTGCTGGGGCAGGCTTGGGGAGTGATTGGTGACACAAAGTATGATGTGAATACTGTAAATCTTGAAATTAATGCGAGCATTTTATTAATGCGTAAAATGCATCTGCACTTTTCTTGCATAATTATTATGACGCATTTCAGTCTGACCATGTCTGCTTAATAAAAGACAGAAAACGTAAATCTGTTCACACTACACATTACACCAATACAGGTCACTTCCTCATTACAGGTATCTTAAGCCACATGTAATTATCACTGGTTACAATCACTGGTCATTGTTTAAAGTCACTCAAGCACATCAGCCAGACCAGACATTCTCCAACCACTTGTTTGTTGAACAACGAGGAGAGTTCTAAGGATATACAACTTCTTTAATATAATATGAGCGCCGTTTCGGTGTAGCTACTACTGTAAGCAATATTGACCATTTGCTTGATAACGGTGTTAGTAGCTACACCGAAACGTTGCTCATATTATATTAAAGAAGTTGTAGATCCATAGAACTCTCCTCGTTGTTCATCACACCAACTTCTAAATGCCACTCAAACAAGTCACTTGTTTGTTGTACCTTGGTAGATGACTTGTGTCTTTCAAGTCGGATTACGTTTATACATGTTGTCATAAGACAAGTAGTAGCAAGCAATCACGTGATCAAACATGGCAGCGTAATCAAAACATCGTCAGCTCATTTCCATTCATTGCTTAACAAGCTCAATTCAGGTTATTTGGTAAATAACAAGTGTGAAAAGAAAAAAGAACAACACCAAAGATTCAGGGTGTCACATTTTATCATCAACACAGATTCCTGAGCTCGCATTAACTTCGTGACTCATTTTAGACTAGATCCTTGCACTCGCATTAAATTCGTGACGCATTAATTTCATGATTTACTGTATTTCCATCAAAACTGATATGAAAATTGTGAAATAACTCCACATTTTGACTGTTCTGAAGACTCAAAGTTCACACAAGCATCCCTGGCTAGCACAGTATCAATGATTGAATGTATAATGCTTGAGAGATTCAGTGATCCTGATGATCAATTTGTCCAGAAAGCATGCTGACTCACTTTTAGATTGTTCGAGAGACATTCTTGAAGTTAGTTAGTTAGAAATAGGAATGACAAGTCTTATGGATGATCAACTTCTTTATTGCACAATGGCGATGTTTCGTACGTATTAGATACTTATGCCACTTTCAAGATGAGGAAAACGGCATAAGTATCTATACCGAAACATCGCCATTGTACAATAAAGAAGTTGATCATCCATAAAGGCATGTCAGACTTTTAGATTGTTTCACATGTTTAGATTTATTATCAACTTCCACTACAGGATGGAAAATAATTAATATAATTGTTGGGTCCCATCTCTAAAATATCACTTAACTAATCACACTAATTTGGTCTTTGGCTGTCCTGAAAAGAGTGATATAAAATTAATGATGCCAAATGGCAAAGTGTTCATAAGCAGTCAAAAATTACAATTTTCTAGTTGAGAATGCCTTCAGATACTGTTTTTCCTGCAATCTCTCATTCTCTTCACAATGATATAAGATCACCTCTTGATTTGTTTTGTACACCCATGGTCTTTTCTCCCCCAGATATCGCAGAACACACCGAGGACAGCAGCCAATGTCTACCAAGGTTCCTGCAATCAGTGTCGTCTCTGCAGTGGTTGAGGTCAACAGCTCCAACTGAAATAGGGTTGCAAGCAATGGAGAAGTGTCTGTGTCAAATCTAGAAGCTGCCTCCAGTTACACGTACTTATGTCCAGTGTCATTGAAGTAAACTATCTAGTTATGTTACACCTAATCATATTTATGAATAGTTTAACCATATTAACTGAAGCTAATAACTGATTTATAGTAACTCATATATATATATGGAATCCAAGGTGGGTTTCTTCACATTAGCCGCGAGCCGCAATAGGGTCCTACAGTCAAGACATGACCCTGCACCGCGGCTTTCGCTTTACCTTTGGTTTCTTCACATCGAGCTTAAAATTATCGGGCTCGAACCTGAGCCCTTGTTGGCAAGAAGAAAAGAAAAAAACCCGCCCCGTCTGTAAAGTGTAATAGCCAGCGAAACATCTAGAGGTAAAAGGTCGAGACTTTGCCAGCATGGTATGTGCAGCTGAAAAACATATCGGTATCCAGCGATCTGTTCACGAAAATAGATGACGCGTATAACATATGACTCGACCGAGCAACTGAGAAAAAACTGACCACTTGTATGTCGACAACTGTCAGATATGTTAATTGATAAATTAAGCAAAACACTAGCACTCTGTGTCTGGAGCTAAATAATGTTCACCATAAGTTTCACGTTAGCAGAAAATATTTTCATGCTTACATCTGTGGGGGCAGCCATCTTGAGGGGTATTTCGAAAAGAGGTTAAACGATTTAAAACGAAACGAAACGACATCGCGGAAAGGGTCATGATTTGAAGTTGTTCAAATATAGTATCCGAATTAAACCGAGACAATGTTTCAATTCTACTAGTCAGTCACAAGAGACAGATATTGCTAGCTAAAACACAGACACAGAGAACTGTGCGTCTTTATCGAAAAAACATTCTTTTCGCGTAAGTAATAGTAAAAGTCCGCTTATATGGCGCTCATATCCAGGCACATTGCCTGCTCATGGCGCTACGTACATTACTATCCCCGGTCATAGGACACTATCGTACTTTCCGATACTTTTTCAACTCCCTGGGGATCATACAGCCATGCTGCCTGTTAGACGCAATGAACTTAACACTCACATTGCCAGCACATCCTCACGGGTACCCATTTTACAGCTTGGTGAACTGAGACAATGTGGATCTAAGTACATGTATCTTGTCCAAGGATACTACGCAAATGTGCCCACCTCGGGACCCGAAACTAGGTGCCTCCACCGGGGATCGAACCCGGGCCTTCAGCGTGATAGGCAGATGCCTTTCCACTGCACTACTGCGCTCCACAAGTAAGAATTTTGTCACATGAAGAATATAGATAATAATGCATTAATATGAACATATATAATTGATATTTCACAAAGTAAATGTTAATGTATATGTTTAAATACGACAAGGAACCATTATCGGGATCGCTGAACGGCAGGATGTCAAAGATTGCTTCTTCCCAATGTGGCTATGTACCATTATGACTACAGCTGAAATAACTATACTCCATGCTTCTATGACCATTAATTACTGTCTGTCGCTCCTGTTCCTCTGTGCTTGTTTAACGTCGCAATCCAGTGATCAACATCATGAGTATCGATGTGCACAATTGGGATACCCCATTAACAATCTCGTTAGTCGCCTTTTATGACAAGCAAGGTTTTGCGTAAAACATTTCTAACCTGGATCAGTGCCCTCATCCCGTTTTGCCTCCAGGAAAGAAATACTTGTGTTTAGAACGCCTACACTTCTGGTATGGCTCCTAATGTATAAATATAGACTTTCCCGCTGTTAGTGGTGTTTTTTTTTACTTTTAACTCGTGGTAAACTGAGACCTGAAAACAAGTACTTTTTACATTAGAACCATCTGAGTCACTTACAATTGATTTGAATATACTAGTAACAGTACCAGATACTGTTACACCATCTAAGGTAACGGCATTTTTTACAGGGAAGGAATGTTTTTGTGTGACCATCCCCTAACACCCCTACCCCTCTCCTGTAATAAATGACGGACCCTTAACAACATTGACACTGATCCGAGAAGAAGATCCGGGTTGGAAGCGGTCGGTCTTCAGCAACCCAACCCGTGAAGGTCCGGGTTAGAATTGGTCTTCAGCAACCCATGCTTGTCGTAAGAGGCGACTGACAAGATCGGGTGGTCAGGTTCGCTGACTTGGTTGACACATGTCATCGTATCCCAACTGTGTAGATCGATGCTCATGCTGTTGATCACTGGTTTGTCTGCTCCAGACTCGATTATTTACAGACCGCTGTCAAATAGCTGGAAGATTGCTGAGTGCGGAGCGACAGTAGCTGAAAACCCTTTAATGATGCAGCTACATGTAATTTCACATCCGCAGATACTAGCAGAGGTACAGCTTCCTGGATCTGAACTTGTGAGGTAGCCTAGTGGTTAAAGCGTTCTCTCGTCACGCCAGGACCAGGGTTCGATTCCCACATGGCCACTATGTGTGAAGCCCATTTTGGAGTCCCCTGGTGTGATATTGCTGGAATATTGCTGCAGGCGGCGTAAAACTAAACTCACTCACTCACCCTCTCTGAACTTGCATCAACCCATGGAAGCATTAGTCATGGACTGTGTGTCCTTTCCGTGCCTTACACTTGTGTATCAGTGGTATGGATCTCAAGCACTTGATGGATCGACGCAGGAATATGTCTGCGCGAAGAGTTTTTGGATGGGTGACCGTGTTTGGCGGCTTTACTCCTGAGAGTTTCTAGGACTTCAGTCCTGCCCCATAACGAAGCACATGTGATGCATGTGGTCTCACCTTAGGCAAGTGAGTTTGATGAAATTTGCCTCTGTCCACCCAGCAGTAAAATTGGGTACCTGGAATGATAAGATGGTAGACTGAATGTGAACCTTGAGCGTCTGCCAGGCAACAGGTTGTATTCTCCACAGGGAGTGTCCTGTACTCGTTGACCAGGGGTAATATGTCAGCGATTTGAGCACGCAATGTGCACAGATAAATGCACAATATAAATGGACTATTATTAGTAGTACTTTAACAGCTGAAGAATCAGTCCCGAATATACGCCGAAGCAGATTCCAATGGGCGGATAAGGCAACTTAAACCACTAGGGAAAGTTATGGCCATAGTTCTTGGAAGTGGTTTATTAGCCTAACTGATTAACTGCCCTAGGGCAATTATTTCTATTTAAAATCAATAAAATTGTACTCGTTTTGATAATCGCCATCATGTCTAATACATTACACGTGTATTAAATAAGTATGCCCTCGTGGTGTAAGCCGTTTAATCACCCTCACTGCAGTAGTTATTTAAATAAACCCCGCCCGGGCTAAAGCCCTTACAGAGTTTATTTAAATAACTACCTTTTTAGGGTGTTTAACCTATACATCGCGATGGAAATTCATGCATGGAACGCTAAAGACAGCAGTTTTCGCGATATGAACCCACCATTTGCACAATTTGTACTTGAAAGTAAACGGCTTTGTCTGACGCGACATAGCAGTAACACAGCTGAAAGGCCACAACCAGTTAACATTGGAGTCTTGATCAGACAAAGAAGTGATGGACAGGACAGTTCTGTGACAGGAACGCGCATGTGACACAGAACTATGACAATAAACATAGTGTGAACAGTACACCAGACATGGATATCAGGTTCGATATCAGTCAAGCTGTCAAGGATTAGTAGCTCTAATGCGATTTACTACATCAAACGTACTCTAGCAAAGTGCAGACACAATACCTCGTTGCCACCTCCCCCACACAAACATCACCAAGCTGTACGACCAAGTCAATAAACCCACGCAAGAATGTGTTATCACACTTCGTAGCTCATCTTCTATGACGACAATTGAATAGTTCTACACAGACAAGTTAAATAAAATCTATATGTACGTAAAAAGTTAATTAGCAATAAAAAAAAGCGACAAACCTTTCATAATCATAAGAATTTTGTGGCACAATTCCGACTACATCATGCGCAATTTTATTATCAGTGGATAGACACCAGGTGATCACTAAAAGTAGGAATATCATGCTCTGTCGATGGCGCCCATCACAAACACATGTATAGGAAAGTCAATGGTTTACCTGAAAACCGGAAAAACGGCAAAACACGGGAACATATTCACAGGGTGGAAGCGCTGTCCACACGAAATGTGGAGTTGCCCCCAAAGCTCCATTTCCTCGCTGGACATTGAAAGAAGGACACGTGGCGCAAGAGTAAAGGTAGGTGTTTCCTCGCATTTTCATTAGTTTGCAAGTATATCAGGTTTTGCCATTTGGCAGAAGGATCTAGAAAGTTACAGATCTTTCTGTAATTGCTTGACACCCTCTATATTTATTGCAATTGCACGTTAACCGAGGACACCCACTGAGTATCGAAACAAGATCGCGGAAAATGATCGTTTCAACACGAAATATGACATCCTCATCAGCAGACACACCTTTTTTGGCTGTCAATTCTTAGATATAGTGATTTTAGGTCTTCAATCGCAGTTTAGGCTTTAATGTGTCAGTATTTTTTCAATGATCGTCGAAAAACCAATCTGTACATTATATATGGAGTTGTTCACGTTTAGCAAACAAACTGTCCATTGCGTTGTGATTTTACTGTCCACAGGAGTTGACAGTTTATAGTTTTAACCGTCAGGTGATCAAACGTTTTTCTAGAGATATTTGTTGTGAAGAAGAATGTTTTGTTACTGCCTACCTGGCGTATTTATTACGATTTTGTATCTTCAAGTTCGATTGTACATCCTCATTGCAGTTTGTACCCTGTCTGGGATTTATTGGATGCAAACCTATAAAAACACATATTAATTTGTTTAAAAAACCAACATGCATTCGTTTCACTTCAGCTGTACTTGCCAGCGTAAACACGACATGAAAACGGAGCTAAAAAGAGTGACCTCCCTTTCAAGTCACTTTCGCGCGTACAACCGAAAGTAATTTATTTAAAATCGTGACCGTAATGTATGTTCATTGATGATAGATATAGATCAAGTACTTCGGTAGATGTCGTGAAAATACAAAGTAATCTGATTGGCTGATTTGTCCGGTCTTTATCGTCGGGTTCTCACGTATTTTCCCGGTTCTACCCATCTTATCCGATTGCTTCCCAACCAGTGGCATCATGGCGGAGCGTTCATCGGGCTCATATGGGCCAGGATTAAAACATTTTACAAAATCATGTACGATCAGAAGTGTATTAAGAAATATACTAATATACATCTACCCCAGGAATAACCAAGACCAGGTTATTCCAAAGTATGTACATTGTTCATACTATCATTCAGATATTGCACATTCGGGTAAAGCACATCACTAAGCATCTGAAAACCAAGGGACATCTAACCAATGTTGAATGTGCGAAATCAAATACAATAATGACTTCCTTTGTTCCCACCGGTGGCACCAACATCGATATGGACAAGTCAATGGCAGTTGTAAAAACAATACAGGAGAAATCCAAATGGCACAATTTAATGAGAAAATGAACTTGCCGATCTTATCTGCAAACCTTACGAAGACAGTCAAAACTGTGTTGAAGTTGATTGATAAACACCATTCTGGCATTCAGGAATGTGTCAAATTTTCTTTTCTTATAAAATAAGATTGTACACTTTTGACACATCAAAATACACTTTCAAACCACCATGAATACACTTTGCAGACAAAGGGGGTAGGCAGGTCTGTTATTGTACATAGTCTGTGGTTAATATAT